GGGAGGCAGCTGGGGCTGCGCGTGCCTCGCAGGAAGCAAACTGCTGATCCCAGCTTTGCCAAACCCTTAATCTGGCAATGCTGGGCATGCCCACAAGGGTGATGGCTGTGCCCCTAGCAAGGGCTGCTGCCCTCCACCACTCCTTGTCTGCCAGCAACATGGTAGGAAAACACAGTGCAAGAAGCCAAATGTGGGAAAACTACTGCTTTGCTCCCATTTGAAGATCAGCACCCACTGCTTTGCCTCAGCAGGCCGCAGGCACCCAAGCCTCCCCCACCGCTTCAGTCCCCTCATGACAGGACAAGGCAGGCAGGGCTGCGTTCACAGAAGTCCAGTTTAAGACATTTTTATTCCTCAGCATGTTACACTTAGTGTTTAAGAAAATACAGGATCCCTTTTAACATTCATACATTTTTACAGGGGAAAAATAGGTTTCTCTACGAGGGTGGTTATTAAGCGTGGGCACTCCCAGACTGACTAGAGGAGGTCCTCACCCCCTTGGCTACCAGGCCAACCCCCTCCGTTCCCGAGCATCACTGCCCCAGTGCCCAGAGTCCAGGCCTGTAGAGCAGAGCTCATGTCATCACCTCAAGCTAAGAAAAACAAAAAAATATACAGTGCCCAGTATTTCCAGTTCCCTTTTCCAATAGCTCCTACACTGGATACTGCAAAGGAAGAGCTGGGGACAGGAGTGACCAAACGGCACACATGAATATCTAAGAGACCCAGGTTAGTGTGTGTGACTATCTGTAACAGGGAAACAGGTTAATCCCGTTTGCTAGAAACCTAGAGGGAATATAAATAAGGGTTCCCCACACTCGTGCATGGTCACAAACAGCTACTGGACACCAGGCTCACGCTGCCCCTGAGCGCTGCCACGTGGAGAGGGAGGGCAGCGAGGCAGAGCTACTACGAAGCTCAAAGCAAGAAATCCACACGCTGCACGGACAGAGCGCGCCCGCCCCCCGGCTCGGGGCCCCAGGGCAACGCTGCGGGAGAGGTGGCAAGCAGCAGCTTTCACTTGGCAGGACACGTCTTTGCGCTGTGTCCAGGCCAAAGGCTTCCTAAGGGCAGCATCACCCACATGGTCGTTACTTCTGGGCTGGCACAGTGTGCAAGAAATTCAGATTTAAACATCACTATAGAAAGCAGATTGAAAAAAGCAGCTGCTAGGGTAAGACCTCTATGACCCTAGGTGGGCTGCTACCCAAAGGCAAAGCTGAAGGCCAGGAGGCAGTGAAAGGCTCACTAGACGAGGTGTTAGACTGCGAGCGAGCCACCTCCCCTTGGCTGCAGCACATTGGCACTAGCAGAAGAAAACAAAACAGATGTTACAAAAGCTTCTTCCAAGCACCAGCGAACTCCACTTGGTCACTGCAGGGAGAGGGATGCACATGGAAAAGAAGTGATACTCTAAGGCAAAGGCCTTTCTTTTTGGGACCTCGGAACACCAGTGCAGCTAAACACCCTGCCCAACCCATCTGCCAAGTCCCTCACAAGCTCTCTGCCCTTCCCACTAACACCAGCTGCCTAAATACCTCCTGCCCGAGTCTTGCAGGCAAACCACATGCCAGCGCCCACCCCGCTCCGACCTCCCCTGAGCACCAGGCCCCAGGGGCACCCCATGCCCTTTCTGCCGCTGGCATTTCTAAAGGGCCAGTGAACGTTGTCCCAACCTTAGGCCTCGCACGGAGGGATGTAAGGTATGAGCTGTACTGGAAGGGAATGGGGAGAAAGTGTCAACAAGAGACGTCATCCATCCAAGTGGTTCGAACTCCAGTCCAAGATGAGGAGCAGTTAGCTGGTACCAGGAGAGATTTCTGGGAACTCCTTATAAATCTCCAGGATGATCAGTTTGTCCATCTGGCACTGCTGGCCCTCCTCCTCCTCCCCCAGGATGCGCTGCAGGATGCCCTGCAGGTCGGAGAGGCGGTGCTGGTGCTGCAGATAGGGCGTGGAGCGGATGATGGCGTGCATCAGAGAGAGATACTCCATCCTCAGCTGCCAAGTGGGAGGGGAGACAAAACACAGAGCACAATGAAAGATTTAAAGTGAGATAAACAAGCATGCCAGCCTCCATTATAGCATGAGCACAGGAACAGCTGCTGCTGCACCACCAGCCAGAGCACGACTCCAGAGGCACCTGCTTTTCCTTAAGGCTCATTAGTAGCTATGGAAAACTCCGCTTTTTCCCACAGCAACCCAGTGCTGCTCTTCACCCGCTCTCAAACATACGCACATTCCCTGCCTCTTGCAGTACCAAAACAGAGATCCCTCCTGCTTCTGACTACTCACAGAGGGTCCCTGTTCTCAAAGGTCGCTGGACAGAAGAGTGCAGACCACCAGAAGCCTGGCACATCTTTCTTCAAACACACCTTTCTACGGCTGTGTGACAGGCGGGATAAATCCTCCCTTCCTCCTCAGCCCCCAAGGTTGATTTGAGCACCCAGAAATGTCGTGCCCACCCCAGGACTCCACTCTTGCCTGCGCCAACAGACCTCACAGAGGGCCAGGCGAAACACCATTGCTTTAGGACTGTGCTCCCTTCCCCAGTGCCTATAGGTTACTGTGAGCACCTTGTCTCCTGGGGAGAGATCAGCAATCTGCCGCACCAGGATGTCTATCAGGACCATCATGTCTGTGTGGTAGAAGATGCTGGCTGTATCCTTGCTGGCAAAGATGTCCTGCAGAAACTTCAGCACTGAGTGTGGTGGCTGAGGCTGATGCTTGAAGATACAAACTGGATCATCTGGAGGAGGCAGAGAGGCTGTGCTAAGCCACACGCTCCCTGTTGCCCCCCCTGCTGCATCTTCAGTGCACATCTCCTTATTAGATCCTACAGGCTTTGGAGGGGAGGCTGTCCCTGGCCTCGGCCAGCCGCTATAGTTTTTATGCCAGCAGACCTTAGTGCCTTGCACAAAGCTGCATAATCAGGATGGCAGCTCTGCAGGGTACCAAGCTGAGACCAAACTCATTAGCATTAATCATTGTTTATGTTTCACCTACCATCCCAGGTAAGAGCTCCTTAGCACATCAAGTCTCAGTGCCTCCCCTTTTTGCTCAACAGCTACCACTCCTTTTCTCCCTGGTCTGGTCCAGTGACCCCACTGAAAAGCCCATCAGAGCCTGTACCAGAAATGAGCTTTCACCACAGAGACCAGTCCCGTCTCTGTGGTGAAAGTAGTACCGTCCCAGAAGCAAGAAAAGAAACACTTCCAAGTTTACATGAGCCACCACATCCCGTTCCCTTCCAAAACACATCCCTGCAGACCCCAAGAGGGATCTGTGACACTGCAGCCCTGCCTCCCCGCCCAGCAGTTGTCAGGAAGGCAGGCAAGAGAGAAGCATCTTCATTAGGTTGTAGCTCCCCTCTTTCTTCCCCCAGCTCCTCGAAGTAAGGTGATCCCTGCAGGGAATCTGGCAGGGAAAGGGCTAAACAAAGGCTTTGGGAGGAGGCCAGACAGAAGAGCACTGAGATGCTGGCTGCCCTCAAGCTGATATAGTGTGGAGACAGTGATTTGCAACCCCAAAGAGAACTAAAGCCAGAGTAAGATGAGCTGCAAGCATCACAGGATGAGTTATTTACCAGCAAATCAATGAAATGAATCTCAGGCAGCAAAGTCCCTGTGCTCCAGAAGGTATTAGAAAGCACAATAGTGGCATGCAGCACGGGCAGAAATACCTGGCAGCACTCTTCCTGTGGAGATCTCCAGCTTTCTAGCAATCTGCTTTGTAAAAGCTCTACACATACAGTGGATTTCACTCTATGCCTAGAGCAGACACAAAGCTAACCCTCTGCTGGCAATTCTGAAACGGGAAGTTCCACTCTAAGCAGCATTTGGGAAGGCAAGACCTCCCTCTGGAACTGTCCTCCAGGGCAGATGATTGCCAGCACGGCCTGAGGTTTGTGTGCCAGTGCTGATGGAATCCTGTCTGTCCAAGGACAGAAGTGGCCCAGGACCAGCTTTCCTCCCAGACAAGAGCTTTGCCTACATTGCAGCTGGTCATGCCACGAGATGGGGCTGATCCGACCCAGAAATACATGGACAGAGGCCTCTCCTCTCTTTCTAGATGCCATCAGCATCACTTTATTCTTTGGGCAGCCCCATCCCCAGCAATGCAGCCTGTCACCCTCACAAACTCACAAGGAAGCAGCACGTGCTGCCTGAGCTGATAGCTCCTCAGCTACCTGCATCCCCAAGACATCCCACCCTTAACAAGCACTGGGCTCACCTCCAAGTCCCCATTAGCTGCACCCCCTGCCAGGCATGTAATAGTGCCGTAAACACTCACCTCCCCTGTTCAGCAGCAGCAGCAGCTTTTCTGTGAAAGTCTTGACGTTCAGGTGCTTGCTTATTGTAGTCATGATCACACTGTTTTCTGGAACTAAGGAAGAAACCTGTTCAGCACATCCCTTTGTTTCCTGAAGACCATGGTAATTAAAAAAAAAAAAAAAGTGGAGTGCTCCTATTTCACTTCAGTGCTCTGGGGAGCTTTGAGGAACCACAGCCCATCAGGGCTATGAAAAGTTTCAGCCCCACAGACTGGGTGGGCAGGGAGAGGGAAGGTGAAATAAATCTGGAAACAATGCATGAAACACTTGGGACTTCGTGCTGTGTGCATCTGATTCATATGTGGGCTCCAGTCCTGCCAGCCAAATACTGTGAAATACCTTGCAAAGGCTTTATGTTGTCAAACATCACCTCTGTCATAACCCTCTAAAGCCAAAGGCTCCACTCTCTGGTATTTTCTTACTTCGTATCAGCAGTGCCCTGCTGGAATTTATGGCCTTGCAAGCTCTCATAAAGAAGGTATGACCAGGAGCATGCCAGAAGGGAAAAGTTCTGCTTCCCAGCACTTTGCACCGGGCTGTGCAAGGGTTGGGGCTGAAGACTTCTTCTAGGAAATGTCCCCTAGTCTGCTTTGGGGGTGGTTTGTTCTAACCCTGTTCACCCTAGCAGACCTTATGCGTGTGTGTGTGTGTGCACACTCAGAAGCATCCCAACAGCACAGTGTGGCTACTTCTACGGCATAGGGTTGGCAACCCTATATTTCACAGGCTGCGAAGTGCTTTAGGACCCTTCACATGGAAAAGCATCAGTATATGTTTTTATGAGAGTTTTTGAACTACTGCTGCATCACCGAACTGTACAATAGATTAATCTTGCAGATAGAGCAATAAAAATTCAATTCACTAATGAGCAACCTCAACATCATTTAACATGTTCTTAGCATCAGAGAACAAGTCACTGCTCCCAGCTACACCCTGGGTGGGCAATAATCCCCCAGAAACACACTGCCTGTCATGCGTTACTGCCTAATTACTGCAGCCAGGAAGTACACAGGTAACTGTGAGAAGGGGTAACGAATGAAAGCAGCAGAGACTACACTTAATCAGTGTCTGTGCAATCAACTTTCACATGAAATTAGAAACTTTCACATAAACTTTAATGAAGCACAACTCAAAATAACAGGTAAATTACTGGACATGTCCTTGCTGCTTTATTGTCCTCTCTCTCCATGAAGCCAAGGATAAAGCCATGAAGCAGAACAAGAGGAAGTAATTATCTAAAGAAAATTGGAGCAACAGGAGATTTTGGCTTAAGAAGTGGCCTCTCTTAGCAGGACCTGGAACTACTCTCCAATCTTCCAACAACAGGTTTCAAAACTCGCAGGCAGCAAGAGGGCAAACACCCTTCTCTAGGGACCGGATGTGTCATCTGTTCTCATGGAGCTCAGCAGCAGATGGAGGACAGAGAATGAAGGCACTCAGAGAGCGCAGCTCAGGCCAACATTGAAGAGCCTGGCCCCAGCACACAGGCACTGAATGAGCTTCAAGAAGTGCAGCTGGGCAAGCAGAAGGTTTGTCAAGACCTACAGAAGGCAAAGGACTTTCTGGACTGGTACTGAAAAATGCCCGCCAAAGCATTTTCTTTCCCAAATCAGCTGTGCCTACAAGTTAACCCCACTCATACTCTGCAAGTGCAGCACCTGCTTTGATCCAGTCAGCACAGAAGTACAGAGAGAAATTCACTGGGCTTCATAGAGCTGCTGTGCCCCAGAGGGTCAGCTGCTTGGACATGGACTGTTTTGTCCTCTAGGGTTTTGCACAATATTTAAACACAGCATAATGCCAGAGGCTAGGGGTGCTTGAAGAGGTTATCACAGCACCATGAAGTTCCAGTGAGATTCTCCCTCCCCATTCTTCACGTCCTCACTGCTCCAGACCACTGAAATCCTGCCAAGGCAGAGCAGCACCAAAACCGACCTGGAATGTGGAGATTGAAAGCCAGAAGAACATTGACAAATAAGTCAGGCAGCTGGTCGGTGGTGTCCGAGGGCAGCCCATCCTCAATCACATCCAGCAGGAACTGCACAAACTGAGAGTTGAGATGTTCTGCACAAGGAGAAAGAGGGGCATTTACAGGACAGTGAAAATAAACCAAGCCACAAGGGACTTGTGGCCACGTAAGCCACTTCACGCTTTTATACATAAAAAACATTAGTGGAGTGCCAGCGTCAGCCTCCAGGGAATTAACAACCCTGCAAGCAGACTAGACAGACCACTGAAGTGTCTTTGTGCAAGAGACAAGTGGCTCAGAGAACTATCCACAGCGCAGGGGAATGCTGAAAGTTGGTCCCCCACCAACAAGTTTTTTTGAGTAAATAAAACACCAAATCCCGCTTGAGCTGTTGTTCCAGCACCACTGCTGCCAATGTCGGCTTCAGTTAGGAAGAGGTTTGTATTCTTGACGACTGGTTTAATCCATCTATTTAAAAAAAAGTAATCATCCAGATCATTAGTAATAACCCATTTTTCAATTTAGCTATTAGGAAAGTTCAGGAGCTCATGCAAATAAGTCCACCTGCAGGAAATAATTGCCAAGGTTACATGAGGAAAGAAAAGCAGGAGGATGGAGGTTCATTCCACAGTCTCTACTGCACCAGCAGTATGTGTTTACCAGGGCATTAAGGTGAAGCTGCTGAGGAGGTGCTTATAACAATCTCGACTGCATTTCTAGGAAAACTGAGCCTGGAGTTTCCCAAATACAGGTAACACAACACGGCCAGGGAAAGAAGCAGGCAGGCAAAGGATAAAACAGGCAGGTCTGCCATGTTTGCACTTCCCTGTTGACTGCAATACCCTTAATCATCTCTGCCTTCCTTAAGAGTTTGAAATACACTGGGCTGCACAGTCCCATTAGAAGTAAGACCAGGAAGAGGCCATGTTATGCAGCTGACAGCTTTAGTGGGCGTTCATGGCGTGATCTGGGCTCTCAGCCTCATCAGCAGACAGAATGTCTCTGAGGCAAGTAAGAGGTGCGTGCTTTCATGCAGGACAGAGGTAAAATAAAATGCCACTTAGTCACAGTGATGGGCAAATCCACCTCTTCTGCAGTATGGCATCAGTCCTCCACCGCTCTAACTCCAATTTGTGCTGCTCTCTGCAAATCTGGCATCTCAGCCCAGTGTTTCAGCAGCCAGGCTCCATTGATAAAGAACAGACCCTACTCTTGCCCTGTTCATGCTGGGCTTTTCCCCTAGCTGTCTCCACCTTGGCCACCAGAAAAAGTCCTTTTCTTGTGCCTGCCAGCACACCCCAGATGTCCCACCATCCTGTCTGCCTTCCTACCAAGCCGTGAGCAAAAGCTGCTCTTACCATAGTGATGATATGGCAGGGGCTCCCCCATGGAGAACATCATTGCCAGCACCAGTGCAGAGTAGCACATCTTTTGATGATCTGCAAGATAAAGGTCCTGCCATTAGTTCTTCTGAGGATGCAAAACACTGTTCCCCAGCTGCAGCTGGGAAGTCACACATTTAATACAGAGATTTAACACTGATTTGACTGCTCCTCATTCCTGTGTTTACTGAGCTGAGTGTTTTTCCCCCTGTTTAAGCACACCACACTCCTCCTGCGCCACACGTTTCCAAAGCAATTTAAAAATAATCACGACCAGAATTCTCAATTTTTTTCCCCCTTCCACTTAAGAGGATCCAGGCAAACTTGATCTGAATAATTAAAAGCCTCCTCTGCACAGTCCCAGGACACATCCCATAGTTATGTAATTACTGAACCCAGAAAATGCATCCATCTGGCCACCTTGAAATACTGCCCGTTCCAACCAACACCACCCCCAGACAGTTATGCTGCTTGTCACCATCTCTGCACTGCTCTACTTTCGCTACCTCAGCTCTGCCTGGAGGTATAAGAGGTCTCTGGGGAGACCAGATCACTGCTCATGACTCAGGCTGCACATCTGCCCACCTCCCAGGCCACACACATCCCACAGCCTAGTCCAACACAATTTTCACTGGCAGAAACTATATGCGAATACTCCACAGAACCATAGCCAGTGCCTCTCCTGAATTTTCATTAATGGATACACCTCAGTAAATATTTGCAGGAGAAAAAAAGTAATGGAATAGGATCTATGTCATAATAAAATGTAGCCTCTGTCCAGTTCAGCAAGTCCAAAGAGGATGGGAAAAGGAGTGTTATTTTTATAAAGTAGGTTACCACACATACTGGCTAAATAAAGTTCAGCTACACCTGCCGGAAAGAGCCTGGGGCACTTGTTACAAGAAAACTGATGGTGTATTTATAAAAAATTGACCAAAACTACTTTTCATTAGAGGAGAAAGTCCCTTCAATGTATGATGCTTCTTCCAACAGTACTGCTTCCCTGGACAATACATGCTGGTTCCAGTTGCCCCTCCAACCCTTTAAGACATTTCACTTCTCTATGCACAAATCAATCCATCTCTAAACACCTGCACCCTGCAGTTTGGTTTTACTGCACAGGCTGATGCTTCCACTGTCACTGGATACTCCTGGACTCTGCCAAAGGATTTTCAATACTTTGGCAGCTCTCAAATTTACTGTTAACGTGGGGGAAAAAATTGCTAAAGAATCATTCCAGCCTCATGCCCCTGGAAAGTCATCTCTGTGACCAAAGCCTCTATAAACAAAGAACATGCAGACTTTGTCAGAACTCCACAAGATGCCCAAGTTTTCAAACAGCAAATACTTTGAGTAAAAACAGATCATTTGGGGCTTAACCAGAGATACTACAGCATCTAACAAGACTAAGAGTTTCTAGGAGAGCACTCTAGACCATGTGGCAGCAAAGGAAAGCTGGAAACTGCTGTTTACTCTTGGTAAACAAAGAGTGAGGATATTCAATGATTTAATTCATATTTATGTAAGAAACTCTCAGCTGTGTGTCAGTGATGCCAAAGCTCACTGTAACAGAAAAAGAATCTGACAAACTGTTCACTACACGATGTCTTCATTCCTTCTTCCACAGCTGCAGAAGTTGGGTATCAGAGGCAGGATACTGTAGTAGGCAGACACGGGGACCTGCTGTTCCCACATTCCTAGTAAGGCTTTTGTGAACAAAACATTTTCTCTCATCACATCAGGAGCAATGAACCAGAACCCAGTGAGAAACACGTGGTTGTAGCAAATATGGAGGACAAGATTAATTAAAGATGGGAGGGGGGAGGGTAGTTTTTACTCATCCTTGGCACATCTGCCATGAACTGATGTCCATGCATTTTGGTTGACAGCAGACTCCACTACTAGGTGGCAAATCTTGTCAGATTTTTCTAAGGATGCCGAATCACAGGATGCTGAAACCAGTCAGAAAGCTGAATTCAGGGAAAATCCGATTAACCCAGTGCACTCGCTCGGCACACAGACTCTACAAGTTTTTGGCGTGTCCTGGCTCAGCCAAGACTCATCCAAGACTCACCATGCTGAAGAACAGAGTAATCGCCAGTCAAAGCACAGCTTTTTTTTTCCTTCCAGAGCAGCACCACTGGCTGCAAGAAAGTAAATAGCATTAATACAACTCTCCTAAAGCAAAGGGACTCTGCTGACAACAGACTGGTAAGCATCACTCAAGTGGCGGTGAAGGACAAGAGAGATGCAGCTATTTGCTCATCAGCTGCTATTACATATGAAAGGTATTTCTCAGAGGCCTTCCAAGACCTTGCTTCCAACCTCTTAACACAGCAGTGCAAAATCTGGGCACTGGCAGCAGACACAACTGTCTACAACTCAAGCACAAAGAGCCCAACAGCTGACTTGCATGTACACTGAGCTGCAACAAGGGAGAAAGTCACGATTACAGAGTGGATTATCCCTGTCTGTTTTCTTTGGAATTGTTCTGGCTAATTCTGCCTTGCTGTGGCTTATTATAAACTCTTCTAACACTGATAGATATGCAGGCCAGCCACAGCAGAGGGAAGTGGCTGTCCAGAAGCAGTAAGACCCAAGCATCTGGCAGAAGAACTGGCCAGCAGCCAACACGCCTGCATCAGCCCCAGGGTAAAGCGCCTTCTCATCAAAGGCACCCAGCATCTACACACAGAGCTTCTGCCTCGGCTGCTCTTCAGTAACAAGCCAGGAGGGATCCCACAGAGCCGCTGCAGCCAGTTCAATGCTCCCCAGTTGCTTAGTGTTGGCACCGATTGCTCTGGCCCCTGCCATCCACAAAAGGGATTAGCTATTCCATGGTATGTCACGGATCAGCTGCTATTCCCCAGTTTCTAGTACTAAAATAAGCTCAAGTCATTCTAGGATTCAAGGTCATGCTTTCATGCAAGGTACCGCTTGCCATTTGCTGGCAGGACATGGAGCAGTAAGCACCAGAATGGCAGGAGGGAACTACTAATGCCCTAAAACACCTCTGAAGGACAGACATGTTTGGGTCAAGGATGGTTACTTCTCTGCAGCCCCACTGAAAAGGCCAAGGGGATGCACACAGATGACATTTGCACAAGCCCCTGCCATAAACTTATCACAAGAAAGGATGCATGGGATCATGACACAGATTTGGGAGGCTCCTGTAACCAAAAGCAATCTGTCAAAGGAAGAGCAGCTTTTCACCCTTCCTCTGTGCTACCTGTGTATTAGAGCAAGAAGGGAAAAAACCCCCTCACCTTGAGATGAAGCAAGGGAGAGAAGGGACGCTGCAGAGCTGCAGGTTGGCAGTACAGAGGACATAGCAGAGCCACTTTTCATAGACTTCCACTTGATGCTTTTTAGGTCCTCAAAGCAGAGCTAACACTCACTGGGAGATAGGCCTGCTTCAACCAGAAGCTCTGTGTGAGATCAGCAAAGGTGCGCTGAAGTCACCTAAGTCAGAGCTCGATGCCCCACCACAAGCAAGAGGCTGAGTTAGCTGTGCTACCTGGGACAATGCAGCCCCTGGGAAAATGCCCTGGACAGCAACGCTGTGACCAGGCAAGGAGTGACAAGGGTCTCTGCGAAAGCTCAGGACCAGCCCACCCTGCCTGTGCAAAGGCAGCTTGGGGAACAGAGCCTGTTTGAGCATGGTGCAGAAAATGCTCACCTGGAGACAATCTTTATGAATTGCTGATAGATGCATGATAAAGTTTATTTTTGGCAGCACAAAATCAGGAGTAACGTTGTCACAGAAGCACAGTCATAGTCCCATAACCAAGTATTATTTTCTTCTTGGGCAGTAAAACCTCAGCCTAGAGAAGAGGTTTCTCATGCATAGCCAGATGAAACAGTAGCACAAAGTAGTAGCCAACACAGGTGTAACAATCTCAGTCCCTCTCCACACCACCAGTGCTTCTCCCTGCCCTGAGCTGAAATGCTATTTTTCAGGCGCTCTGCACCTTTGACATGCCCGCACTTCAAAGCATCTAAGCAAAGGCAAGCGCAAAGCCTTCTGCAACAGAAGGCAGAGCAAGAGGCTTGATTTTCATCTCTCACACCCCCTTCCAGACACCAGATTAACCCTGTTAGTGCTGTCCACCACACAGTTGGGTTGGCATAGTCTGTGGTGGGATGCTGGAGACAGGGACACCTAGTATGCACATCCAAGGTTGTCATCTTGGGCATCTACTTGGCTCACACAAAACTGTGGTGATGGTCCCTGTTCTGCACAGACTTGTCAATCCCTACAGAATCTCATCACTAAATTAAGCTTCTCCACAACTCCACGCTACTCACAGCAAACCAACAGGCTACAGACTGCAATCAGAGCAGCGAGGCCCTAAATATGGTGCTCCAAATTTTGGGATTTGATCCACATGGTCACTCAACAGCTACTTTGTTGTCTATGATTAGCACAAAACAATGGATTTTCAATATCCTTTTAAGAGAAAATGTAGCATATGCTACTGCCAGCACTGGTGGCCTACAGGTTGACTTCAAAACAAGAAGCAAAGCTGTGACTGCCCAGGGCCAGGCATGCATGGGCAGCTGGAAGGTAACATCACAGGAGTATTAGTACAGGTTCACCTTGTTCTTAGGTTCTTCCTCAGCATCTGCTCTTGGCTGCTGGGAGATAAAGGACACTGGGCTAAGCATGAGCTCTGGGGGACAATGCTAAGAAAATCTGACCACACTACCACCACCACCATGCTTTTAAGCACATGGAGCTCAAAGGGCAGGAAGGATGTTCCTGTTAATAGCAGGGACAGGTCATCCTAACAAAAGGGAGCAGGAACATGAAGTAGAAGGAATGTGAGGGCAAAGCCTGGGTATGGAAAGCAAAGAGCTGGGGGAGGCAGGGCTCTGGCACTATCAAAGGAAGATAGGAGCAGAAGATCACGAGCACAACTTTGTTAACAGCACTACCATTTCCCTTGGATGGAAGAGTGGTGGAGAGAAGGTCCTTTCCTTCAACCAGCACACACCTCATTCACCAGCAACAAACACTGCAAAGATCTGGTGTAGAGAGCCGAGAAAAACTGCTTATAAGAGGCTGCAGAGATCTTGAGATCTGCAGGTGTCTCCTGTCAACATCATGAAACAAACTGGAACAGCTCAAAATGTGCTTTAAAGACATCTACAAGAAGTGATGCAGATCACTGACGGCACGTTCAAAACCTAAAGGGCCTTGCATCATTGGACTGAAACATCCCCTTCCATACATTCTCCACTAACAGCTGTAATAACCTGAATAACTTTAAAAGCAGACACCTTTCTCCCCAGAGCACTGGGCACGTAGAGCAGTCAGGCAGTGAGGGGCCACCAGTGCTGCTGTAAATCATCCAATGGAAAGACACGTCCCTGGGGACCTGGGTACAGCAGCTCTGGCTCACCTTGTGTGTGAGTCTGCATGTCCCGGGCCAGCTCCATTGGTAGCACAGAGTTGACAAGTGTTGAGATAACTGCAGCATCCAAGTTGCACATGGCTCCAAAGCACTTCAACAGCAGCAGCCGTAACGGCACCCTGTGTTCCTGCAAAAGCAATTTATGAAATCAAATGATGTCCCAGATGAGGGCTTGCTCTAAGGCAGAGAAATAACAGGCTAGAAGTTCCCGCTGCTGCGAAACTACAGACCTTCCCATGGTGATGGTGAACCAGAAGCTCTACCAGCTTTTAACAACAGTGTAGGAGTCTTTTTATGACAACGTTCACAACGGGGCTGGCTACAGGTTGTTAGCTCAAGTGGTCAGATAGCAGGTGGCAGCCAGAGCCCAGATCTGAAATGCCCCACTTAACATCACAGAACCATTAAGGCTGGAAAAGACCT